TTAATTAAATGTTTAATCTTATTGTTGCCTCCCCAGAGTCTGGCAGGAATGGAGTGAGATAAAAATACTGGAACTAAGTAACACAATATTCTTGCCCCAGAGGGCCTCACTGGCTTCACAGAAATGATCCCGAGAAAATTCAAGAGTTAGAGCAACAATGTTTTCTGATTGATCATGGCACTATAAGGAAACCATATTACTCTGATCTCTGATGCTATACTCAAATGGGATTTTATTGTGGAATTTTTTTGTAAGTTGCTTTCAGGGATGGCTGTGGCTCTAAATTTGGATAGAAATATTCAACATTGATGAATTAATTAAGCCAGAAGTTTCTGGTTCAGATTAAATTGAACCTCTGGATTAGGACAAATAGGAATGAAGTACCAAAGCTGGCACACAAGGGATGGAAGGGGCCAGATAAGGGAGAGATATTGAGCCCAATATTTTTTCATAAAGTACAAATCAAATCTAAATACAAACATCCTATATATGAAGAAAATACAAATTAGATGTTATTTTCTCAGTACTTTTGCAATATGTTGTTGTACTATCTACTCCAGGTACTTTGTAATGATTTTGGTGCCGAACACAAATTCTGTGCTAAGAAAATCTCATTTTTAGGCAGTAAAATTAACCAGCAGCCAGCAACGTTGGAAATATGTGAAATATGGAAATATGGTAAAAAGAGGGCAAAAATTCTTCAGGAACAAATTAGGATGTCCTTTTTTCCCCCATATATCTGAACACTACTTCCTTACAAAATCTTGAGCATGCACACTCAGATCTTGAAAAATGTCACTTTCAACTATACAAATAACCAAGGACATATTCACATTTGGATCTTATTCTAGAACAAAAGCCCACCTAGCAGATTGAGACCAATGTGAACATGATTTTATGAACACTTAAAACCCAACATTCAGATCTCATGAGATGCATGAGATGCAAAATACAACTTCTGTATCTTACTGAATCCAGTATAAAACTGGAGATCAGGCCTCCACTTCTAGATTCTCTGAGAAAAATCCTTATTTGTGATGACTTTTATTGTTAACCATACTGTGAAGAAGGATCCCGATGATTTGGCAAATTATATTCACACTGGAGAAATCTCCTAGAAAGGGGAACTAGTAGACATAAAACTAGTTTGAACTCCATGAGTACCACTTTACCCAAGTATCAAACTATGAGGAAATTCACCCAATGTAATTTTGATTTCAGAAAACTATAAGGCTAAGGTAACCCACAAATTCAGGCTAAAAGTCATGAGACTCCAAAGAAATAATCAAAAATGAAAAATTCCATTACTAGATTGCTCACTCATGCTCTAATCTTGCGTACTAGAGCAATCAGCCTCAGTTAGAGAAGGCACAAGACTTGAGAAACATGGCTGGATGTGTGAGGTGAAGAAACTGTCCATACACTAAAAATAAACTTCTATAACTGCTTACTTCCACAGATTATCTATACTAGATTCTAGATCACAAACAGAGAATGTAGTACTTACTCCGTGGTTCCCTTGGTCCATCTACTGTCACTTTTATAGCTCTGTGGTATGTAGCAACTTGAGGGGGATTTGTAAGGACAGTTATTGTCAGAGTAAAACTTTTCCCTGTAAAAAAAGGGAGAAAAAAATAGAAATTATAATAAAAATGGTTGCATGTGGTCTAAAAATATAAGACATTCATAAAAATGTTAAGCTGGAATGCAGCAAAGAAATATGACTCTGCACTTCACGCTAATTGTGAAATTCAGTCAGGTGCCACAAGTTTTAAATTTCTCATTTTTATATCAGATGATGAGGTCATGGCAGGTAAATAATAAGAAGCAATGTCTTCTTGAAGAAATGGACATTCTTGCTTGAAGTGCAAACTGCTTGGAAGCAGTCCTTAAAACTTGCTTTCAAGACATGTTCAGATCACCATTTTTAATGCTGCAGTGCATAACTAGCATCTGGGTGAATCAGCCATAGAAAGTAAATGGAGGAAATCAGCTAAGTAGCAAACAGAACAGTCTTTCCACAGGCCCTGTGAACTGTGGGAGGTAGAAAAGAGTCTTTGTAGGATGGAGCACTGCTCCACCTGCAGAAACAGGAGCTGCTGAAACAGTCACCGAAGACTAGAATTCTCTCGATAGGCTGAGTGCATGTATTTCAAGGGCATTGTGGCTCACATAACAGGGCCTCAAAGAAAGATAAGCAAAAAACACAGAAGGAAATGCATTTGATATCTAGATTTGTCTTCTTTTAGAAGAACATAGTATGTTTATTTCCTTGAGCTTTCAGAGAAAACTGGGATAGAAATACCACATACAAATCATAAATAAATACATGTACAAAATAACTTAAGCTATAAGTTTCTGTAACTCACATAGCTAAAGCTATGGAAGAGTAAAATCCACAGCAGAGCAGTATCTTTCTAAGGACCACTAAAGTAGTGAACAACTTTTCAGTTCTCCAGAGCTCTACATCAGGCAAAGAAGGCTGGGCATGGAAAGCTTCCTTGGTGTTAAAAGGTCTACATCAACCAGAATCTTAACATTAAAAAGTTACTATGGACTTCATTGAATTTAGGGTCAATTTTGTCTCAGCCAGAAAAAAAAAATAGGGAGACTATTAATATATTTAAAAAATAAAAGAAATGAAAAGACTTGTTCTAAAGAGAAACGTCTTGATCTACAGACTGTCCAGCAGTAAAATATGATGCCTAATTAGTATCCATCATTCTCAGCTCCTAAATTCAGTCCAGAATAATGTCTATTTGGATATGTTGCATACAAAAGAAATCTAATGGACCAGTTTCATTAAAAATCAGCTTGTTTTAGGAAAGATTACAGGCAAGATGTACATTACTATATATTGTATATTAAGGACAAATGTCATATAAAAATCATATGGAATTTTTGTTGTTTTTTTAACTATAGAACTTGATGGACTATGTGAATATATATGATGTCCATTACATTCAAATGTATCTGTATACTCTTAGAGGAACAAAACCATAAAGTGGATACTCAAAGTGAAGAAGGATAATGAGGAAAGATTGCCCCTAGTAAAGTAACACACAGGGTTGCTGCTACCTGAAAGAAACCACTTGGCAAAGCCACAAGATAAAACTGTTTCCTGAAGAGAAGGTCATATTCAAACACCAAAGGCATCCTTACATCTTTAGGATTCAAGCCAAATATGGAGATGTGACTGTGTGGGCACACAGGATGCTACACCACATCATAGCAGATTTCCATTGCACAAGGGCCTCTGGCTTTGAGAAGAGCAAGCAATGTCTGGGTCTGGGTGTCATGAATGCAGTAAAGAGTTCTCTTCCTGCAGATAGAGTGTGGCCATGAACATCTGCAGCATGCCTGTTGCAATATGGAACAAGCCATATTATTATTAGTTAGGACATCACATGTGGACTGGGCTGAAATAATTTGTCTTCTGCAGAAATTCTATTCCAGCACTTACAGCAAGGGAGATTTGCTCAATTGAGGAGAATTTCTCTTTATCCCGCTGCTTAACTGAAAGGAATGTGCTGTTTTTACATTTGACTTCACATGGTTTTATCATTTAATTTGACTCTATCATAATACAGAGGAATAATATATATTGCTTCTGGGAGCCATAACAGAGAGCCAGGGTTTCCTACTTTGAATATGCCTGTGGTAATAGCAGGATAATGATATAATTCCTGAAGAAAAGGAGAGATAGTCCTCCTTTCCCTTGACCATATTCCAGCTATTAAACCTTAAAAAACTATCTGCCCAGGGTGAGATTGTGCTTTAAATGCATAAAATGTATGTTCCACTGCAAATCCAAATAACCGTAACAGAAATTCTGCAATTAAGATGGAGATGGTACCCCGCAACCCTGCGAGGGTTAAGAAACTGGAAACAGCCTACAGAGAACAGGCAGAATCTTCACCCGGGGAAATCTGTGGCCTTTGTTCTGCAGAGTCACTGACAGTTCTAATCAGTGAGATATGCAACTGTTAATCATTTCAGATAGCCAAAACTGCAAACTGTTTCAAGACAGGAAGAGGTGGGCGTACAACAGTGACTCAATGCAACAGTCAGCTATCTCATGGCTTATGGCTCACTTTGCCTCCTGCTTTACCAGAATCTTTCAAAGGCCTTTAAAAAAACCAACCATTGAGTGACTTTGGATTCCTACCTACTACACCCCACTTTGTGGGACTCCAATGGTATTAATGAAAACTCAGATCGTTCAGAAAATGAAGCAGCACTAAACTCAATACATTATTTCAAAGCCTAATACAAAACAGGAAGTGTGACTGTGTGGGTATGTGTGGGTGTTCAGAGTCACACGCATGTGTAATACAGAACAGGTCTACTGCTGTCTAATTCAGATCTCAAAACCTCTCTCACATCATTTATCATCAGGCATGTGATTTCAGAACATTTGGAGATATGTTGCTCCAAAGAGAGAGAATGTAATAGTAAACTTCAAATTTACAATCACACTCAGAGAGAACGCCTGTCTGCTTCATATGTAAGCTGACATGCTCAGGCAATCCGTCTGACTACCACAGCACGGTTTCTGCTGTAAAATCTACTAAATATGATGCAGGGAGGAATGTTGATTTCTAAAAAAATATATATAATGTGACAGCAGTCAGAAATAGAAACCCTTTGAAAGAAGCCAGCTGTCACTAGCCTAGTCTGAAGAAGGCAGAAGACCGTTCAGTTATTTTAACTGATTTGCCTTTGACAAGGCAAATTCTATTCTATACCACTGGCTTTAATTGGGATATTTTCCTTTTTAGACTGTATTAATTTCAGCCTACCTTATTCTTCAGAACAGTATGTTTGGGCATCACTTCAAATATTTGTGTAGCACAGAATGTAACTAATGAATTCTAGAAATAAATGTCCCCCATATTATAAGACACTAAAATAATATGGATGCTTCTTGTGAGTATCTCCGAACAAGTCAATATAAAGTCAAATAAGCCTGTGTTCAGACTTCAGGCTCTGTGGGGATTTACAAGGAAGTTCTGCTTCATGAACAACAGAGCTGATTAAAATCAGGGGTAGAGTTCCTCCTGATCCTACTTACTAATGAAAAGGATAGCTAGAATGAAAACGTGCAACCTCACCTTCTTTCTTTGTACTCAGTGTGGAGCAATGATCAGTTTTATAAATTTCTTATCAGAACATAATTCAATCCAGATGCTGTGTATGAAATTCTATGAGTATTTAAGCAGAATGCACAGGTGGCTATGAGAACTGTTAAGGACATTTGTTGAAAAGATTCTCTGTTTAAACATTATTTGTTTAAGGCACAAGCCTGTGCAGAGTTACACATCTCTAAATCCTGCTAGGATCACTGAGATCTGTTCACATACAAGCTGGCTGTTGCCTTCAATCACAATCCAAACAACCCTTTCAACTTAATTCATTGTCACAATTATACCAGAATGAAGACACAATGAATGGTGAACCCAAAGCCATGCTATTTAAATAACCACAATATCTATAATAGTCAGAGCAGAATTTTCTAGTAGATTAGTGTAATCAAAAAGAGACAAGGGGCACATATCAAGCTACCCAAGTGACAATGAAGGCAAAACCTACCCTTCATAACAGAAATTACAGGATCATATACAGTACAATGCTTACCAGGGGGATTATTATTTGGGCAGTGTAGGAAGTTGGACATAAATGGAAAATTGGAGACACAATCAACATGTTTTCTACCTTATATAAAAGAAGATGGGGTGATTATACCAAACTCTTTGACACTATGAAAAACAAATCTGTTTAATTAAGCTAGTTAAGGGGAAGATACTTAGTGGCTTTTAATATATTCTACCACATCAAAATAAAGTACTTTTTTAAAAACTAGAAGCACAATTCTAGGGCCATTGGGACAGTGTCAGACACAGAGCTCTAACCAGGGGTGGTAATCTGACTATAGATTTTTCTTTTTCATACCAGCTACCAGGAGTGGTACTTGCTGAAGCTGGAAAATTGTAAGGTCAACAAAATCTTACAATGGGCATCGCAAGGGCAGACAGGGCTCATGATCTGGAGGCTCCTAAGTCTCTCCACCCATCGTTCCACCCATCTGACTTGATATAAGATGGAAAGTGCCCTAGCACATATATCATTTTCCATACAGAGCAGACCTTTCAGTTGACAGCTGCAATGATTAAGGTCTCAGTATTCTGATCTTAAACTTTTGCATGTATGTATCCCACAACTCTAATTTAACCAAGTTGGAACAATGTTGTATTTGTTGCAGTAATAAATATTCTAATTTTAATGAGCCTATGGATGCCTCTCCAATTATTAATTGGGAAGCTTACACACTGCAAAACCCCAGCTTTGAGTGCCAACTTTATTTTCATTCTTTTGGAAGACATTTATGGAAAATAAATATGGAGAGTGGCCGTAATGTTTAAGAACCAAAATAAAGAGAATGGCTACAGCTCAGAACATATGGAATAGTGCTCCGTTGCACAACAAACAAACAAAAGCTTGTAGAAAGATGTACAGAACATTCTGCTTGGGGTGGGGGGGATTAGAAGGGACGCTGAAAACCTTGGTAATTTTGCATGCATGTGTGTGCCCTGAGCATATTTTCTTTTGGTTTTCTGGACAGGCGTGTGAATGAATGTTTTATCTGTGTTCTACGTTTTAAAATGTCTATCCAAATTCTGTCTCTACACGATTCTTGGGTAAATTACTTTTTTTGGGCCACAACGGTTTACTTTCTTGGAAATGGATGTTTCGTGGTTGGTCATGCCATGGCTCCTGGGGCGGGGGGTGGGGGGGAGCCTGCCCATTGCAGCTATTGAGTGAGGACAGTCATGACACGTTCTTAAAATTTCTGATGTGCCCACTGGCCAAAACATTATCCTAGTGTGCTGAAGACACAGTCTGGTCTCTTAGGCAGTTAAGTAATTATACTTAGTAAGCCAAGACAAGAGTTTAACCAGGCTAATTTAACTCTCATAATTTTCTTTAAGGAGTCCTTGGAAATTTAGCCAATGAATATGTTCAGAAATGGGTCTGGAGCCTCAGCTTAAGAGCGCTATAATTTTCTAGAGAAAGGAACTGATTATAGTGAAGTCAGAGTAGATTTGTCAGGTATATATGTTCTAGGGACAACTGAACTTGAAGTATGAATAGTAAATAATATTGGATTATAGCCACAATTAAAAACAATATGAAAAGCCAATATAGAAAGTAGATAACTGGAATAAAGGGAGGGAGGGATGTGTGTATATTGACAAATACTATGGGGGAATGTATTTTTGAGGACAGGAAATAACACATGACTGGAAATGCCTTTTGGAATTTGCCAACTTCTCTGGCTGCCTTCCTATTTCCTCTCTCCTTCTGCAACTATTAATATGCTTCAAAAGACCAGATCAGGCAACTGAAAGAGGATAAAGTGATTAGAGAAGTTAGTGATGGCACAGGGCAGTAGGTAAACAGCTGAGCAGGCCTTTCTAAGTATTTGCACTGCTAGATTAGATAAAAATGCAGAAGAGGATTTCATATGAGGTTAGCAAAACGATGAAGTCATGATAAACAAGGAACATATGGGAGCGCAGAGAGAGCAGAGCAGATAATTCAGACGGTGACTCTAATGAAAAAGAAAGAAGTAAAATTAGAAACACATAAAATAAGAGGGTGGACGTTCTATTTCCGCCAGAAAGAAAAGCAAAAACACCAACATGTTTTCTCCTTTCAAAGTTTGTATGACCCACAGTGGATTCATTCTTCCTTAGAAGTTGACTCTTCCTGGTGCCCTCTTGCCTTCTCCTTCAGTGAAGTGAGAGCAGCAGGGACCCTTGGAGTCTCGCCAATAGGCCTGGTCTTTCCTTAAAAACAGGAGATGGCTTTTCAAAGCAGTCTGATCTGTGATTGCCAGAACAAAGTTCTTCAGTTGGTGTAAAATGTTTGACCTTGTCTGATTTTTATCTGCACGTGTGTTTCATACTGTTACCTGGCCCTTTGGTTGCAAGGCTACCACAGACCAGATAAAATGTCGACTTAGCCAAGAACATTCTTGCTGTGTATAGATCATACAAGCTCCTGTTTGCTACTGCTGTTTCCTTTCCTGCTATTTTAAGCAGTACCATAAAAATCCTTCACGAATGATAACTCTTTTCTTTCTTTTTCTCTGCTCTGTGTCTGAGAGACAAGTCTGGACCAATTTCTCCATCCTGCCTCTGGCAGCAGAATGCAGCTAGCATTTCGGATCCTCTACCAAATCCCAGCTGCTTCAAAGGAAATACCCTACTTTCTTCTGTTAAGATCATAAGAAATAGAGGAGGAGGGGGTCAGCTCGGTTTGGACATAATTACACTTCATCAAAAGAAGCTTTCTTCATCTTCCATGCGTGAAAAGTCTGCAAGCAGTTAAGTCTGTCTTTTCCCCCTCTTTCTTTCTTTCATTCTTTCATTTTTCTTTCTTTCTTTCTTTTTTTTTTTAAATATAAAAATTACTATTTGGGAAGATAGCCAAAACTTGGAAAGCTAATATAGTAAAATTGTGCATACACTCTTTGCTTTCCTTTGAAGTTCTTTGAATAAATATGTTGAAGAGTTTGTAAAGTACACTATCATTTTTTGTAGCTTTTATTCATATTGATCAGAGAAAGCTACTCATTGATGGAAGGTAAATGTTGGGAATAATCACAGTGATTCTCTAATTACTCATTTCATTTCCTTTTGTGACAGTTAAAGTAGATAGATAGATAGATAGATAGATAGATAGATAGATAGATAGATAGACAGACAGACAGACAGACAGACAGACAGACAGACAGACAG